TGCTGAAGGTGACATGAAAAGGAAATTGAGGGTTTGAGACTGGAAATTCCTTTTGAACATTGTAGGGTGAAAGAGACAGATTTCAGGCTACGAAAGAGCTATTGTTCTGCAGGGAGGGGGAAAGGGAACTGCTTTACTGCTTTTCTCACGCTGCTTCTTCCTGAGGCCAAACCTGGGACGTGTTGCAAACATTTGCACGTAACACATGAGCAAATACTGTGACTTCATACCCTCCCATTTGTCTGTCTTTTTTTTTTTTTTTTGTCTATTCTGCACACTGGGCTATAACGGGGGCTGTGTATGGTTATGCCAATCACCAGGAATGGGAATGTTGTGTCCCGGTGCGAGATGGAGCTTTGTGGCTGCAGTGGAAGTGATGCAGAGGAACCAGACCACTACAGCCAGGGAGCACATGGCATCAGGTGAAGTGATAGTGCAGCAGTACTTGTTTCGGAAAAACTGAACAGTGTATGTGGAATGTGATTATTCTGTTGTTGTTGTTGTTTGGGGGAGTCTTTTTGTTATTTGTTTTTGGGTTTTTTTTAACTGCAAGTGCGATGTCCAGATGACTGGGAAACAATGATGAAGTAAAAAACTTGCAGACATGGAAGAAATCTACAGAATGAAGTGTCTTGTCCTGCTTTTTTGCTGCCTCTGCCAAACTCCTGAGTTTTATTTGCTCCCTCTCTCTCAAGAACCTGAGATGCCACTGACTTTTTCTATTGCTAAATTCTGTTTAGTATCTCACAATTTTAAAGGTGTCCCGATCAAGGCCGTCTGCATAGCAGATGAGCGGGGTCTTGCATGGTGGAGCATTCTTGCTGCCCGTTACAGACGCTGCCTCCTTTGCTGTGCCAGCCAGATCCTTCTCTGCGGTCTACAAATTGCCAAAGCCATAGGTTAGTCTGCCACTTCACACAAATCTTGCATCCTCTCTTTAAAAAAACTGCCAAGGACAGACCCTGTCCTAAGGCTCAGAAGTGTTTCTCTTCCTGCCAAATAATTTCAAATTGGTGTTTCAGAGGTGCTTAATGAAGCTGGGTATTCAATTATAATTAAAAGTCCGTAAGAATTAAGTGCCTACTTGAAGTCCCTTTTGGAAATCTTACCTCTAATAAATTACAAGGTAAACAATGGCCACTCGTTCCTAATGGCATTAATCAAGTACAAGCTGGCAGTTGCTTGTGAAGTGGGAACGTGGTTACAATGGGCTCATTGTAACGCCACGCTGCTCCATCCGCAGCTTTTATTGATGGCAAAGGTACCATGGATGACCTGCTGCAAAGCCAGATTGAAAACAACACAAAATCCTCAGCCACTGAACTTGCACCTCCCTGGGCCAGGGAGGGGATATTTTCTCTTGCAAAGGGCAATGGCTGTTTTCCCTGTGTCAACATTTGTGTAGGTAACTACTCATCTTTTGGAAAGAAACACACACATAACTGACTTAAACACAAGCTTATGTTGCCTTTTAAAACATGCTGAAGTGCATAGGAAGAGAAGTCCTTTTCTCTCTGACATGCTCTGCTCCCTTGAAAAACTATTTCTCTGCAAATTTGATCCCAAACCACATTTCAGTGGTGAAATTCAAGCCGGACTCTGCTCTGCTCTCAATACGTGCCGATCTCCCTGCTTGTGCTCACCTGGCTGGCTGTGCTGTCCCTGCTGCTGTCCGTTGCCCCGGCTTCGTCCACTTCATCCTCAAAGCCCGTCTCTTCCATGGCACACAGACCCCCTCTCCCTGGGCTCTGACTCACGCCAGGTACGAAGAGAACACTGCCACCGAGCCGTGTTTGGACCAGAATGTGCTGGGGTAACCAAGGTGACTGGGGTGCCCGGACACTGATTCTGAGTTCCGCCAACCATGGAGACTGCTGGGGCCCTCCAGCCCCACAACAGTGCGGCCCTCTGGGGCAGAGTCACCTCTCCCATCAGTTTTGCCATTGATTTGTAGTCCTTTTAGGCAGAAAGCCTTGGATTTTCGCCTTGCTCTGGTAGTGGTCAGGATGTTCAATGCTGTCAATGGCTCCTGTGGGCAATGGGAGGGAAATGTCCTTTGCTTGGCTTTGTTTGCACCTGTGGGAGCTTGGTGGAGTCTCTGGGGCTCTTGGCTGGTGCTGGGTTTGCACCTGCAGTGAGTCCAGCACCTGTAACTGTTCCTCAGTCCAGGTTATTTTGGCCTCTGAAGGTGGTGCAAAGTGCAGCTCTGAGTCACACGTGTGGCTGTGTGCCGTGTTGGCTATTTGCAAGTGCGGGTGCAGCTCCTGGCATGAGCAATCACAGTTTTCCTCTACAGCTTGTGCACCAGCAAGTTCAAGACAGGCCTTTCTCCGATGCTTCCACAGAACCTGCTGAGCCGTGCTGCAGGGAAACACCGGCCTCGGTGCAGGGGCTGGACAGCCTGGCTCACACGGGGCCAGGGATGATCTCCGTAACGGAGGCAGTCCCATTTGATGGGGAACAGAGGTGCAACAAGGAAAAGGGACCTTGGGCTGCACCCTAGGTATTTTTCAGGGAGCTGGCTGGAGTGGAGACCTCAATTCGCATCACAGTGTAATGGAAATTCAGGGTTACCTCCCTCACAGATGGCAGTGAAAGCCAACCACGGCGAGATCTCGGTCTTGTGGGTAACATCTTTTTTAAAGCTCTCCTTTTTAGAAAGAATAAATTGCACTTGCCAGGAAGAAGTCTGAAAAGGCTTGGAGTTAAAGGGACTTTGTTTTGGAAATTTACATCAAGGCAAAATGCTCTCACAAAGAAAACCGTGTAGGGCTCCTGTCGTGCCCTGACCAGTCAGACAAGTGCAATTGTTTTGTCCCTTGGACAATTAGTGTAATTGCTGCAGCTGTGATTCAGCTGTGCTCCTGTGCCAGGTCACTTCTGGCACCAGGAGTCATCTCCAGGGCTTTACAAAGGCCCCCTCTCTCTGACATCCCCCCGGCACGGCTGTGCGGAGGGGCTGGCGCTGCTCTTGGCGGAAGTTTGAACGCTTCTGTTCAAGTGTTTCTCTGTGCATCCGGCGATGCTGAGCACTCGCTGAGCCAAATGCCTGGTGCAGGTAGTAGCCTTGGGAAAGTACCTCTTGATGGGCCTTGACACAGAGGCAGGTTCTTATTTTCAGGCTGTCTTAGGGATGTTTGCCCTTTACCCGTGATGGAATTCAATAATGACAAAAATCCATTAAGACAAGCCCTCCCCTGAAGATGTTTGTGGCATTTTCTTTCCTTTGTCTGCTTTCTGCCTCCCCCACATCTGAAATGTTGCTGTCAGCTCTCTGACGCAGGAGCCCTGGACAAGCTGGTGCTGAGCAGACACAAAGACAATTACCTGCTAACACTTTGCAGTTAGGTTTGCTTTGACCATCTGCGGTATGTCACAACTTGTTTAGCCTATACTGGGATTTTACAGTATGTTACATATTACTTAACAGAAGGTAAGCTATGCAGAGTGAAGCAGTGGTGGTAGCGCAGATAAGTGTACCTATGCTGGCTTCAGCCTGGTTTTTGTGAGGGCCCTGTTTGAGGTGGTTTGGTTGAAGGGGATGTTGAAAATGCAGCTGGTTTCTCAGTGCCTGTTACCAGCTGCCCTCTTGCTGTGTGTGCTCCCTGCAAGCATGACATCTGTCCCCAGTGTGGCAGGCTGCTCCTCTCCTCCTCACCTCCAGAGGTTTAAACCAAGAAGTTGCCAGCTTATGCTCTCATGTCTCAAGTCAGGATATCAAGGGGTAGCGTGTCCTGGCAAACAGGAGCGCAAGAGAAATGAAGCTGGCTCATGACAAGATTTCACACACATTGGCAGCTAGATGAAAAGCCATTTCGGAACTCTAGGGACATGTGCTGGTTGTTAGCATAGGCGTAACCATATTTGCATGGCTGTATCCCTGTCCTTGTGAGATTACAGCTTCCATGGAGCATGTGACTACAGCATGGAGTGGCTTTCTTGGCTTATCATGTGTACACTTCACTGTTTCCCAGCATGGAGAAGGCCTGCAATTCCCCTTGCAAATTCCAGTCTTTGTTCTTCTACCTTTCAGTATATGGTGCTCCCAGAGCTCAGCCAAAGCCAGAAATACACAAGGAGGAGCTACAGATGGATGTCTGTGGCCTGTCTTCATCTGAGCATCTCGCAGTATTTAGTTGTCGTCCATTAACCTGGTTTGCAGCAGAGCAATGATCTTAGTAGTCTTCTCTGGCATTACTCGGTACAGTTAGCAGAGCAGGAGACTAGACAGCTGAGGTTGCAAAATGTCTTTTTTCACTGTTGAGCCATATAATAATATTCAAAGCTGTGCTCTGACCACTGAAGCTATAATCCTTCCCTGTCTCTTAAATTTTTTTAGTAGCACTGAGTCAGATTTCATTTTGTTCATCATGTAAGGTCTTGTGGATGAGTCCACTCCCACAAGATCAGACATGAGACATGCCTTTGAGTCCTCAGAAGTCTGTGGTTGTATCTCTTCCCCCTGCCACTCTGAAGACAACAGTACTTTCTACTTTGAAGCCTATTGTGTTGGAAGATGGCATAACCCAGACCACATCTACGTAAATCTGTTGGATTATATTGCCTGTTTAAGGGCAGGTGTGCTTTGAAACTGTGTTCTAATTGGATGGGGAAAAGTCAGGGGTACAAACAAATTATGCATCTCTTATTTCTTCCCATGAAGGAAAGGGAGCTTAAGTGCCAGTCAAACACACTGTACTGTAACAGTGCACCTTAGGGAAAACATTTTCTTTTCCCCTGACAGCTCTTCTATGAATATTAATTTCTACTATTCGAGTGTCTTAGTCTTCCAGGATCTGTGGAAGTGCAAACGTTAACCAATTTCTCTAGTACAGCAGCCCATCCAGTGCAAGAGCAGGCACATAGAAAAAAGGAAACAGTTGTGAAGATGCTCTGTTCATGCTGCTGTTTGTTATTCGCTGTTTTAAGCAGATTTAGCATGAACATCATGTGTGATGTGATGAGTCAGGTTGTGTATAATATACGCAGGTGTCTGATGCAATACTTATTTACTGGTAGGTCACAAGGAAGGAGAGCTGATAAAGGCAGGTAAATATACAGGTATTTTACATTATACTTAAACCAACCTGCATGTACACGTGATTTAGTTAAACATAAAAAACAGACATCGTTGCCAGATGTATTGCAATGTAATACTAAGTAGGAATTGTAGTGAGGAATGTTTTTTGGTAACTTATTCCTACCAAGAGGGTGGTGAATGCTTCACTTGATAGAGTGATTAATGACACTCGGCACAACTGCTCAGACTGTCGGGGTGGAGGCTTTGCTAATTGGATCTGGAAATTCCTTTGGTGGTGCTTAAGGATGATGAAAACTTTCACAGCCAACTAGAGACCCGTCTTTTCCCTGCAGCTGGATGCCAATAAATACAGCTTAAGTTAATAAATCTTGCATCAGGGGAAGAAATCTGGAAGAGAATTTGGACCTAGTTATGTGGCATTATTAGAGGCATCTTATTATACCAAGGAGTCGCTTTTGGCTAAGTGTTGGGAGTAGCTCATTTAATCACTTGTTTGAACTAATGTGGTAAAGAACGCAAACACAATTTGTAACCAGTGGTGTGTAGAAGCCACAAATGCATCTGCATCATTTGATCCACTTATTCTCTTCTTGCAAAATCTGATCAGATGTGGTCCAAGTATTCCCATAGTGGAAGACGCAGCTAGCCAAACCTTCCATGGTGCCCAAAGCTACTAGCGACTAACCTCGTGTGCTGGACACCTCCTCGTCAATAGGTGTGTCTTCGGGTATTTCTACATTATTTTACACTTCAACAGTTCTGTAGATGTTTGTCTTTAGCTTTTCAGCCAGCTGTTAGTGAGCTTATTAATGATGTTTGCTAATGTCGTATAACTATTTTTTAAGCTGCTTGAAGTCCTCAGGAACTGAAAGAGCATTATCAGCTTCCTCCATACTTTGCAACTTGCAGCCTGTGAGTAACAACATAGTTAAAGGCTCTCCTTCTTATTGTGCTTCAGAAGTTTTCAGGTTTTTATGTAAACTGAAGTAGGCATTATTAATGAGATGTTAATAAGCCCATCCCTTTGCTGCTGCTTAAAAAATCAAATCTATAACAACTTCGGTATCTCTTAATATTGAAAATAATTTAACTTATTTTGTTAATCTCTTGGATCGTGTAATACAAACTGTGGTAACTGATATCTGCCTTGTTCACTTCCCCCTCCCTAAAAAATCTACCCACCATCTTAGCAACTAATAGAAGAAGCCTGAAAAACGATGGGACTGGTATGCCTGTGCCAAAAGGTCAGCTCTGCCTGGGGAATGTGGCAGGGGTTTGCATGGGATTAACAAGATACCCAGAGAGGCACTGAATGTAGAAGCCAAAATGTAGAGGTAGGAAGAAAAAAAAAAAAGGAATGAGGGAGAGGTGGGAGAGCTAAGCACTGCTTGGGAGAGAGGAGAGAGCTTGAAACCAACAGCAAGGGACAAAGGTGGGCATAACCAGGTGGGAAACCCAGCTGCT